TAAAGCATAGGGGTCTCCCAAGTCCATTCACTAATCCTTTATCCTACCACAGTATCTTCCCTTCAGAGTATCATCATCTCATTAAGGTTATAATTATATCCTAATTGGTCTCATTTCTCCAGTCCAGTCTCCACATCACTGCCAGAAAGTTCTCTCACTTGCCTCACTGTGTCATCTACCTTGCCTCAGTCCTCCCAAAAGCTTCCCTATGCCTTCCAAATAAAACCCTAATTCTTGGTTTGGATTTAAGCCCCTGTCACCTACCCTACTTCCTGTCCCACCTGTATCTCCATTCATTCCCTCAATACATACTGACTTAAGAAATTTTCCTGAATGTGCCAGCTTTCTGTTGTCCTTGGCTTTGCACAGTATTGCCTTCATAGACTGGTACCAGCCTCCATCCTTCACTTTCCAGATAGACTTTGCTTCCTCCCACATGTATTCTTGACCATTGCCTCGTGCCCTCACACCACAGGTCAGATGCCTGTGCTGTGAATCTTCAGTCTGAGGCTGCCCTTTTCATTGTGCTGGGTCTTTCCAAACTGTAATTCAGTTCATGACCTTCCTCATCCTGGTCATGAGCCCCCAAAAGATCAGAATCACTTCATATCCTCAAGACCTAGCAAAATGACCGACATACAACAAGCACAATGTAACAAATATTGACTGAATTTGAACAGAGATCCTGGCATAAAAGTACTAAAAGATAGTCACTTCCATCCCTGACCTCCAACTCATCTGGTAATATTGAAAGGCCAAGAAATTATATCTTGATTATTTATTTCCAGAACCAGCCCAGGGTCTGGGACATAGCAGGTATATACCCAATGGCTACTGAAGCAAAGCCAACTTGTTTGTTAATGAAAGAAAAAAAGGTAAAGGAATCGGTGTTGAGTTCTTAGGTCAGCCCAACATAATGCTGCACTCTATTCATCCACATCATCCTCAGGCTCGCCCCGTGAATAGTTAGAAAAACGGAGGTTTGGAAATCTGAGTCACCATCCAGAGACACATAACTAACAGGGAGAGGAATGGGCTTTGGTGGGGCCACCTGTGCCCTGAGCACACTCCTGTGCTTTCAATCATTGGTGAGCCCTGCCCTGGCTGCCTTGGCATGCAGAACTTCAGACCCAAAGGTAGGTTAACATTAGTTAACAGTGTCACACAGTCCCCTGGTTTGCCTTCCAACTATGAAGACCGGTGTCTGGCTCTCAAGCAGGGCTTATCTGTCCTGCATGCCCTCAGTGTTAGAAGTTCCTTCCTCACCCTACACTCCTTTCAAACTCTTCCTGGATAAGAGAGTGCCCCAGTTTTGTTTAAGAAATAAACTTCCTGACAGTGGGATCAATGATTGTTTTATTGCCCAGCACAGGCCTGCTACTATGTAGGTGCTTCAAAAACAACTCTTGATAGTGAAAGGACTACTTAAACATTGTCTATTACATGCCAGCCGTTGTGATATTTAATAATATTAACTCACTTGTTCTTTGTATTGTTTTCTTTACTGGTGCTCAAACTAAGGCCCAGGGGGTTAGGTCATTTGTTCAAGGTCACACACAACCAGTAAACCAAGAAGCCAGATCAAACACAGTCCATTTGGCTTCAGAGCTTAGGCCAGTACTGCACTGCTTCTCCAGTAAGTTTCTGGAGCCCACAGCACAAGGCAGGGGCCTCTTCTAATCCCTGTGTTTCCCTGGCAGAGCAGGTATCACATTATTACGGTTATTTGCACAGAAGTCTTTTTCCACTGGACTGTAACAGGTCCACACCTGTGGGATCTGGCACGGGGTACTGATAGTAAATGTTAGGAATGAACCACAAACTATCCTATGAGGAGTAACATACAGTCCCTGTTCCATGCACTGATAAACTGAGGGCAAGCAACAGAAGTCTAAGCCTCTATATTATATACCACTGATCTATGCTTAGGCCTGCCTCCACAACAAATACTTGTTCCTGAATGTTTCACCATATCAGCATTTGCCCTATGGAAATGAGTTTAGCCTTGGCTTGCCCACTCATTGAAGCCTTCTTACAAACTTGATTCTCAGCCTCCACCCTTAACCTAGAATGCCCTGACAGGAGTGCTATAGAACCACCAATTTTAATGCTAGAGAATTCCCAGAACTATGGAAACCCAAAGTCTCTCCCCCACGATGAAGAGTCAAAAACTGCTTCTCGGGTAAGTCTGTCTCATCAGGGAGTATGGTGAACCTGGAAGTCTGAGATCCCAGAATTAGCCAAGGGAGGTAGGTATCCACAGCATCACAATGGAGCCTGCCTTCTGGATACAGGTGTCCAGGGCCTGCAAATGTTACCTGTCTCCCATGGGTACACACTAGTAACATTTGCGTAAGGCTTTTCTGAGAAGTTGGCAACAGCAAGCCTTACTGAAACTTTTCTCTATGTTTTGGGGGTCAGAAGAAGCAGCCAGAAACTTGCTTTATTTCCAGAGGTAAATGCCAAGGACTCTGCTGAACATCCATTTAGAAGCCATTGTCTTCCTAGCCACATCATTGTAGTCCTTATCTCGGAACATTATACTATAGATAAAGAAACTGAGGGCCAGAGCAATGAACTGGCTTGTCTAAGGTCTCTGTTAGGACATGCCTTTACCCAAAGCAAATGTCATAAGGAACTGGCTTGTGTAGCTATCACTTCCATACTTCGATTTCTTCATGAGTTTCTTCCATGCTGTGGGAAGTGATAGGCAGAATGAAGAATATGCTTTCTTGAACAAAAGTGGTATTGCACTATGGAGGAATCTTTTAAAGAATAAACTCTGCTGTGTGAGCCCCCAAATAGAAGCCCTGAGAGCGTATAGGGGTGAGAGAGAGTATGTTTCCCAGAGGGCTTGGAGTGGCCCTGGGCTGTTCTGCTCTGCTTATGTGGGCAGAGTGCTTTGTGTTTCATATTCCAGTTAATGTAACCTTCAGAACATGGAGTGTGAAGCATGGGCACGGAGAGAGAGAGTCCTGAGCCCACCTTGGATCTTGAACAGCCAGAGTGTGCTGGGAGGTCATTCAGCCATGCCAATCCATCTGAATTTGGGTTCTAGAGGCAGGGAGATTTTCAGATTAGGGTTCAAAATCAAAGGCACCTGAGACCAAGTTCTTTCTGTCTCCAGCTCCCAGATACCCAGTCTCCCTTCTCATGGAGATAAACAGGATGCTGAGAAGGAGTGTTAGTTTGGGTTTCCATTGCTGTAACAAACACCTTGACCACGGAAACTTATAAAGGACATCATTTAATTGGGGCTGGTTTACAGTTCAAAGGTTTAGTCCATTATCGCCATGGTGAAAAGCATGGCAATACACAGGCAGACATGGTGCTGGAGAGGTAGCTGAGAGTTCTACATCTGGATCAGCAGGCAGCAGGAAGAGATAGTGAGCCACTGGCCAGGCTCAAGCCCTCAAAGCCCTCCCACAGTGACACACTTTCTCTAACAAGGCCACACCTCCTAATAGTGCCCCTCCCTATGGGCCTGTGGAGCCATTTTCATGCTAAGTGCAGGAATGAAGAGTCCTCCAAAGAGGGGTTCCAAACATTGAAGGAAGTGTCCCTTCCTCCACACCCAGCAGGCTAGCTCAGGGAACTGGTAGTGAAGAACCAGTCTCTAACTGTAAACAACCCTCACCACACCAGTCTTATATTTCTCTATTTCCTTCTGATAGATAGTTCTGTTTCCTCTGCTAGAAATTGGAGATGACAAGGGGCGATTGTATGGTTTCAGAGAGGACAGCACAGAGCCATTTGGGAACATCCCCCACCTGCACCCCACCCCAAATCAGCATGTGCCACTTTTGTCCCTGACAAAAGACAGTTGAGGCATCTGGAAACGTTGGAATCTGTACCAACTGATACAGGAAGAACATGGGGCTCCAAATTGGAGATGGCTGGGCCTGGCAAGTCCTGAAGAAGTTGGAAAATTAGGAACTGCCTAGTCCAACTAGGAACTTTCTGTGTGACAGAACAGGAAATGGTGGTGGGGGTCAGAGTAAATAAAAAATATATAGGAAGGGATTAAAAACTGACAGGTGACCTGTGGGGGTGCATTTGGCTTGTCCTTTCTACATCCATCCTTCCCTCTTCAGTTTCCTGTGTCCTGGATGCTACAGGCTGGGAGTTCATAGCAACCAGCAATTCCTCGCTGCACTCGGGAGAAGGTCCAGTTGAAGATCTGACCCAGGATCCAGCCCTATCCCCTGTCCTCCCCTTGTGGTGGCCTGGCTGCTACTGACCTCCAGACAGTCTGACATGGCAGATGAGAGGCAAGTGCAGAGACAGCTGATGACTCCCCTAAGTCAGGCGGTCAGGCCTTGTCAGTGTCAGTGAAGTGTAGCAACCTTTGCACCCAGAATTCTTGACTCAACCAGAGACTTGGACTGGACTCAATATCACACCCTGGGCTCTTGGAACATTACCCTGAAAGCTAATTCCTGAAGTCACCAATCTGAGGATTGGTCCCCAGAGTCCAGGAGGACCTGCAGATCGCCTGGACCTTTTTACCTCTGACCATTTCCCTTCAGTCTGGTTAGTTCGGGGCCTCAAAAAACTTTGAGCACTATTTGAAAACTTGACATGGAAGAGAGTTCAGGAGTGAGGCTGGTCCCAAGATGAAAATCGTCAAAGTAACTTTCTTAAGCTCATGTCATTAGCAGTTAGATATAATGGGTGAAAAGATTCTGTTCAAAATAGCTATACACTATACCAAGGATATGTGTTTAGGAAACAGTATGGAGGGAAAGGGTGAGGTTTACCAAAAATATCCCCCTTAGAAATAAGGTCACACTGTGTTCTGGGTGAAAACATCCCACGTTGTAAAGATGCACAGTCTCTCTCAAAGTAATTTATAAATACAAGCTCTGCCTGACCCTGGTGGTGCACACCTTTAATCCCAGCATTTGGGAGGCAGAAGAAGGCAGATCTCTGAGTCTACAGAGTGAGTTCCATGAGAGCCAGGGCTACACAGAAATCCCTGTCTTAGAAGAAAGGAGGAATCCAATTACTATTTTATTTTTAACAAGATTTGAAATTGATAAAATGTTGATTCAGATTACTGTGTTTTGGAAAAAAATTTGAGATGTTTGAAAAAGAAGAATCAGGAATCAGTAGAGTGACCCACCCTCCGAAATATTACACAAGTACAAGAGTTAGAACACTGAGGCTGGGAAAACACGTACTGAAGCCAACAAAGGTCATCTGAGATTTCAGTATGTGGTCAGTGGAGGGATGGGCAGGTCATGCAATAGTCCTCTGATAACCAGCTGATTATTTGGGGAAGAGTTGTTACAAACTTCACACTTTCCATAAAAATTATTTTCAACTGAACTAACTATATAAAGATAGAAAATGAAAAGCTAATAAATGTATTTACTAGCTAAATAAATATAAAAATGGAGGTAAATTATTTTAGAAGTTTAAAACTGGAAAATCTTAAGATACTGTAAATATATGCCATTTATAGTGGAAATTAACAAGTATGGCTACTTTAAAAAAAAAAAAAAAAAAAAGCTTAAAACCCCAGGATAGTAATAGCAAAAGCAGTAACCCAAAGGATGGAGAAGTGTAGCCCGTTTTACAGAAAGGAGGGTGCTGCTGCCTTGACTGTGTACTGACCTACAGAGAGGTTCTAAGTTCTTAAAGGATGTATGCATATTATTTAAAAAACGGACAGCAGTGGCTGTGACATAAAGAAAAAACTAAGGAAATGTAAATTGCAGTGCCTCCGAGATGCTGCTTTTCTTGCTTGAATTAGCAAAGATTAAAAAGACCCCAAGATGCATCTTGAGTGCCTTGCCTGTCACAGCCTTTTCTGAGGGCTGTTTGACAGGGAGCTATCAAATGCCCGGAAAAGCCTCTGATGACTTGTTCGAATTTCTAGTAAGTTTTCCTAAGGAAATGATTGGTCACATTCACAAAGGCTGCTCATGGTAGCAATGTTATCAGAGCAAAAACTGGAGACTAACTATTAAAAAAAATTGGCAAAATAAGGTACATCCATATAACTGATTATTTTTAAATCCTTTTAAAGATTGTGTTGATTAACATGAAAAATGCTTATATTTGTAAACAAAATGCATATTTTTGTAAATGAACACACTGAAACAGTTTACAAAAATCAAATATATGCTGCTAAATTTTCTAAAATGTTTAAGGTGTTTATTGAGAACAAGCCCTGGCAGCTTCCACTGGGGTCCCTTCAAGGAAGCCCCTTCCATGCCCACTGTTCTCACTGTGAGGTCAACAGTGGGTGACCTTGTGCCTAGTTGACCGGTGAACTCTGTAAGAGTATATTACAAGTAGTTAATCTCTGATCCTCAGAGCCTGGCACATACTAGGGACTCAACATGAGTGGCCAGATTCTCGGTTTTCCTTGAATAACTGGCGAATTTAATGAAATCAACCCCCCCCCAAAAAAAAAAAAACAAAAAAAAAAAACCCTAAGTCCCACATTATGCTCAGAATTGAGGTGAGGAGACAAAGGTCTAAGACTGAACACTGGATCTGGATTTCTTTCTTTAGGTTGTGCAGCATGGCGGTCCCAGGTAAGTTACCACACCGCTCTAAATTTCGTGAGGCACTCAGGTCTGAAGTGGGCTATTGCACTTCCCGTTAGCACTGTGTGCTAAGCAAGCAGGCCACACCTACAGTTTAGCAGAGTGACAAACACAGGAGACACTTCAAAATAGAAAGCCTTGAAACCTTGTGCAACCCTACTCCCTTGCAGGGCTTGTCCAAGGAGGCCAGTGGCTGTGGCTGGAGCTATGGCTGGAACTTGGTGTCGGCACCTCCTGCACCAACCAGTGCGGTCCCTCCTTCTGCCTCAGTTGGCCCTTCGCCTGCTCCTCGAGTAAGGCGCCCAGTGCTTCTTTCCCTAAAGAAGCTAAGCACCAGCGATTGGACCCCAGGTGCAGAAGAGAGCCTCGGGTGGAACCCAGAACTTTGCAGACCACTGGCCAGGGATGGCAACTCCAAGGCTTGAAATTTGTGCTCCTCTGTGTCGCCTTCCAGCTTGGAATCGCTTTCTCACCTGGCAAGTGAGATAATGGGACCCAGTAGAGGAAGGTGGGACTCCATAAGTCACTGCAGGGAAAAGTGCAAGGCGCTGGAAGAACACGCAAAAGCCCCGAGCCACAGTGGGCAGTGTGGTTTGTTGTTTTGTTCTGTTTCCAAAGTTGTGTCTTTTCCTTGGCCCTAGCCTCGGCCAGATCAAGGGCCATTTCAAAGGAGACAGCAAACCAGGCTCCCTTCCTCCCCATTCGCGCTGGGCACGCACGACAGAGCGTCTTAATCAGCAAGACTGGAGGAAAATGTCTCCTGTGCTGGCGTCCATGCCTGCGTCCACGCAGGAACAGGAGTCACTCTGGTGCGCAAAACGCGAGTCAGGCATGCCTGCCTTCGGAGACGCTGTCTCCCAAGGCTCCTTCTTCCTCCAGCCCTTCCCAGGTGAAGAATTTCAGCCAAACTAACGGAATCCAGAGCGGTGGGAAAGGGGTCTGTGCGGGAGGGGCGAATCCGTCCCAGAGCCACCGGTTTGGGGATAATTACTTTTAATGTCAGAAAGATTTAGTTTAATATCATCTCTATTAGGCTGCCGGGAGGGTAATTAAATGGGAAGCGTCGCAGCCGGCAAACAGATGGCGTCTGCTTGCTCCGAGGCCGCGGGCAAACAGCGCAAAAGTCAACGCTTCCCAGGTCCCCCACTGATGCCCCCAGCCCTTCTCCTAGTCAGTGGTACAGAACCCTCATTCTAGGCGCCCAATCCCACATCACCCCAGGTCCCCACCTGGGCCTTCCCCCTGGGCCTCTTCTGTGGAGTGGCTCTGAGTGATGGATGGGGTTGGAATGAGGATGTGGAGGATTTCTTGGCTGGGTGCACACGCCCCCTCCCCACCGGCCCGGCAGACTCCTCAGCAAATGATTCTGAGCTGAGGACACTTCTGAAAGTGTGAGTTGGGCCCTCGCTGTCAACCACTTCATTTGGAGGGAAGGTCTCTATCCCAGCAGATGGAGAAGGACTGGGGTTCCGTGCTCTGATAGATATGCTCAATGTTGAGGGTGCAGGCTCATGACGTGGGACTCTGCAGGCGTCTGAGTCTGAGATCACTCACCAAGTGGTTGTGCCTGCAGGCAAACGTGCTTATGAGAGCATACTGTGAGGCCAAACTTTTAGAAAGGGTCCCTTGGGTGAGAGGGCCACGTCAGAGGTGAGCGCGCCCCCCGTGGGCGTCCACTTCATGTGTACATGAAGGTGTGTCCAATCCTGCAATGAGGTTTTGTGTGTGTGTGTGTGTGTGTGTGTGTGTGTGTGTGTGTGTGTGTGTGTGTGTGTGGTGGTGGTGGTGGTTGGGAGGCTCATCCTGTTGCCTTAACCTGGGCATGCTCTCCCTGAGGCTAGCGGCTCAGGTGGGCTTTCACTTCCAGTCTCTTCTGGGCAGCTGCTCATATCAGCAGATGCTAACAGCATGAGTGGCCTGGGAAGCTGGGCAGAGGCATCCTACGGGGTGGGCACGGTTGTTATCTCAGCCCAGAACGGGTTTTTTTCTGCTTCCCTCCATTACATTCTTTATGTGAACACCACCAACCTCGGCTTGTGAAAAGAGAGCGTCTCAGACCTGTGAAGACACCAACTTAGAGCACCAGAAAAGGGGAAGACATCCTGTAGTTTGGCCTGGGTTGGGTTCCAGGGTGCGATACCTCCTGCTCTTAAGAAAAGAAGGTTCGATCTAGGTCCACGCCAGAGCTCGGGTTCCTGAAACCGTTGGCTCTGGTGAGTTCGTCTAAGTGCAGGACTCTTGGCCTCAAGCGCGAGAAAGGGTATTTAGGCCACCGCTTCCCAGAAAACTAAGCATATCTGGGTAGGTTACTTGGTTTGGGGGTTTAAAAAATGTCTGCAAAACTGCCCCCCCAAAAAACAAAAACAAAAAATGCTCTAGAAGCAGGCGGGCGCGTGGAATCCCGCAGCGCACGGAGCCTTCCCGCCCCTCCCGCCAACAGGCCAGCACTCAGGCATAGGTAGAGTTACTCTGCCGTCTGACCCCGGGGAATTGTGTAGGGGTGGGTGGGTGGGGGACCCTGAACGCCTAACGCGGAGGACTCCACCGCACCCTCACTCCACCTGTATCTCCAGACTCTTCACTCCCTACCAAATCTTTTCTCCGGCGGCAGAGAAGGAACTTTCTCGGTAGCCCCACAACCAGGTTGCTATTCTCTACGATTCGGGTCCCAGCTCCCTTGAGACTGGCCTGGCAAACTTTCTGGAAGTTGTCCGCCAGATTCTGAGGTTCATCGCCCCGTCACGTCTCCTCGGGTCGGATCCTCCGTTGGCTTCTTGGACAGGGCGCATCCCGACCCTCGCAGGCGCGTGGTTCTGCTATGGGATCCTGTTGATCTCGCCTTCCTCCTGCCCCAGCTGCGGGTCCGCCTGGCGGGAGGGGCTGCGGACCGAGGCAGGCTCCGTGCGCCTAACAGGTGTGGGCGTCGGCGTCGGCGGCGTAGACCCGACTCCCGAGGCCCAGGGGCTTCTAAAAAGCAATGCAAAAACACACGGTAGGGGGTGGAGAGGACATGAGGAGATGGCCTCGCTTTTCATTTAAACGAATTTTCTTTACTCTGAAGAAGAGAGAAAAGTAGAAAACAAAAAAATGAGAGTAACAGAATGTTAGCCGCAAAGGCAGGAGGAGAGTCCGAGCTAGAGAATCCGAAGGCGACCCCGCCCAAGGACTTCGACGTCTGTTCCGAAAGGGGGTAACTATGAAAGGATACAAAATTCGAACCTGTTACCTCCTCCGCTGACCGAACGGCTCCTGGGGCCGTGACGTCAGCACAGGTCGCAGAAGGCCAAGTCAAAGTTGGTCCAAGGCCCCCCGCCCCTGCGCAGCCTTGTGGTCTTGTGGCCCGACCGACTGGCCGGTGCATCCTGCGTCCGAGAGAACCTGGGGAAGCGCAAACGCTGCCTTTTACTTTCGTTTAAAACAATCTACAAGTAAACTTCGTTAATTTCAAATATCCACAAAAAGAATCCCACCACCACCACCACAAAAAGGGGAGCGAGATGCGGAGAAACGAAGAAAGGCAAGGGCACAGGGGGCCAAGGGACAGGGCTGGGGCGCGGGGAGAGGAGAGGCTGGGGCGCACCGACCCTCGTTCCTCCTCTGGGTTCCTCGCTTAAAAAACGCCACTCCTTACAAATCACACTTACCCTCTGCGCAGCCCGTGGTGGCAGGACTTTGCAAAACCAAGGAACTAAGCATTAAAGGTGGCAGGGGGAGGGGGAGGGGGAGCAAAACAGCTCTCAACCACCTCGGAGCACGTCGGACTTGGGAGCACACTCGACACCGTCAGAAGGCAGCCAGCAAAACCATCTTGGCAAGTCTGCGGTGAACGCCCTCCCTCCCCCACCCCGGCACCCGGGTTCCACTCCCACTCCGACAGCGGTAATTGAATTGTCACCTGCCCCCGTCCCGCCCCAGGCCTCCAGGGCCACTGGGGAAGCTCGGCCTTGCCAAGCGCCCCCGGCCAAGGCAGAGTGGCGCAGCGGAGCCGGCGCCCCAGAAGTAGAGGGGTTACACACGTCTACGCGGAGAGGCGCACCGGACACGGTAATTAGGAGCAATTCACACGCTCTCGGGCGCACGGAAACTTCTTGTCACGACATTCGCAACGCTCCTCCTCGCGCACTCCTTCCCTGGCGCCCCCTCCCTTCCCGCAGGCACTCAGCGGAGCGTTCCGAGTTTCGAATCTTTCGGACACTGTAGAACGAGGGGCTCCCCGGGCGCGGGCCCGGCCAATCAGAGCGCCGACTGCCTCCCCTGGCCAATGGCAGGCGCCACATTGTTGTCCAATTCTGTCTAATGGAGCCCTGAGGAGCAACAATAGAGCGGGCGAGCGGCTCATTGAGAGCTGGCAGCGCCGGGCTACCAGGCCCGGATAGAGCGCAGCGTCCGGAGCGCACCGAGGGGACGCGGGTTCCAACCAGCTGGCCCCCGGACGGGTCCCCGGTCCCGAGTCCCCTCCGGAGTGTTGGACTGCTGTGCTCCGAGGGGCGGGGGGGGGGGGGGTTGTCCGGAAGTTCGGACATGGTGGCTGAAGGAGGGTGACGTGGTCAGATAAGGGGCCGGGGGCACAGGGAAGAGGCCGGGAGAGCGGCGGCGCGAGCAGAGCTGGGCGGTGCGTGCAGCTCCGGCGGAGGAGGAGCCCGGAGGCCCGAGGCAGGTAGAGGAGGGCCGGCCGCAGAGCCGGGGAGGCCACCCGAGTGGCGGCCCCCGAGGGCGAGGCCTAGGCCCCAGGGGCCTTAGGGACTGCATGCCTGAGGGTCTGGGGGTAGAGGCCCCGGGCACACTGAGCTCTGGGATTCTCAGGCGGAGACCCCAGGAGCGGGTCCCGGCTCGGGAGCCCCGGCGGGGTGGCGGGGAGTGAAGGCCGCAGCGGCAGCCGGGAGCTGGGCCTGCTGGGCCTTCGGCAGCTGCGGCGCAGGTGGGACTCTCCGGTCCCTTCGGGGTCAGTTTCGGAGGCGACTCCCTGGCCTCGCTGAGGCCTGCTGGGGAGTGCACGTTCCAGAACCCCAGCCTGAAGACCAAAACTCCGGAACCTGCGCTGGAGCGGGGTCCCAAGGGGTCCCAGAATGAGGAGGGCGTGTCTAAGGACTGGGTCCCTAAACTGGGGAGGGGTGGGGGTTGGGTAGGAGGGGTTGAGGGAAAAGGAGGTCCTGCAAAGTCTAACTTTTCGAAGCTTTGCCTTCCTCCTGGACTACTCCAGACTAACTGTCTAAACCCCACGCCACAGGTCTCGTCCTGTCCCCACCCTACCCTTTTGCAGTCCAGGTTTTCCTATTTATCACTGCCGCTCCCCGTGGACCTGGGTCCGGGTCACCCGTCTCAGCTGTTTCGGGATGTTTTCCTTGCTATTCAAACTAATCTTTGAGCTAGATGGCTTGTCCAAAGAAAGTTTTTTTTTCCCCCTGATGGGTTTTCTCTTTAATGCCCCTCAGCTCTTCTAAACTCGGTTCCACATCTATTTTCCCTCCTATCCTTTAGAGGCACAAACCACCGCATGTCCCGAACTCATGCTTTTTTTAAATGGGTCCCGGGGCCAAAAGCCGAGCTTTGCCTCCAAATTTGTCTTCCAGTTCTCACTCTACTTTTAATAGGAAGAAGTTCTTCAGTTCTTTTTAGCTCGAATTCCGCTGCTCCCACGTTAAAGGCGACAAACAAGACCCCAACCCAGCCTGCTCAACCCTGCACCTCACCTCCACATTTCTCTCCTCTTTACCCTTCCACCAAAACCGAATGGTGTTTTTTGCTCCGTGTCTTTTTGCTTTGCCTTTGATACCAGCTTGTTGGTCCCAAGTTTTCTCTGTCATCCGAGTCCCCTTCAGGCACACTTTTCTCCTTTCTCGTCTCACCCCAATTAACCTAAGCGTTGGACATAATATTTTCTTTTCAAGTCCTCCTTACATTCAACTGAACCAATGACTTCCAAACTTGGTCGTCTTTTTCCCCCTTGGAGGAACTACTGATTCAAACGAATTCTTCCACCTGGCGTGTAAATCGAATATAAGAGCATCAGTGAGGGGAGTGGAGGGGGGTGTTGGTGAGGAGAAGGAGTCGTCGTGTTTACAAGGAGGTTCCGAATACACACACCTTCCCCGCAACTTGCCCGCTATTAACCAAACTTGGACAGCCAAAGTTTTCCTAAATTTGCGTTTCTGCAGGCCGCGCTAAGTCTGGCTCGTTGCACTGTCCTCACTCGGGTCTCCCCACTTTTCCCACGGCAGGTCCAGTCATGGAGCTGCGCTCGGAGCTACCCAGCGTGCCGGGCGCGGCGACAGCAGCGGCCACAGCGACGGGACCTCCCGTGGCATCAGTGGCGTCAGTGGCCGCGGCGGCGGCTGCCGCAGCATCGCTACCAGTGAGCGTGGCCGGGGGCTTGCTGCGGGCGCCTCCCCTGCTGTTGAGGGCCGCGGAGAAGTACCCGCGGACCCCCAAATGCGCGCGCTGCCGCAACCACGGCGTGGTGTCGGCGCTCAAGGGCCACAAGCGCTACTGCCGCTGGAAGGACTGCCTGTGCGCCAAGTGCACGCTCATCGCCGAGCGCCAGCGCGTCATGGCTGCACAGGTGGCGCTGCGCCGGCAGCAGGCGCAGGAGGAGAACGAGGCGCGCGAGTTGCAGCTGCTGTACGGCACTGCCGAGGGCCTGGCGCTGGCCGCCGCCAACGGCATCATCCCACCGCGGCCCGCCTATGAAGTCTTTGGCTCCGTGTGCGCCACCGACGGCGGGGGGCCCGGAGCTGGAGCGCCCGCGGGGAGTGCAGGGGGCGCAGGGGGCGCAGGTGAGAGCGGGGTCGGGCGGGGGTGGGGGTGGGGATGGGGTCTGGAAGGAGGAGCCCCGGACCCAGCTCGGATGCGCACGGGCCTAGTGGATTGTTTCCTTGGTGACCGAGTTTAGCTCCCTTCCCCAGAAGTTGTGGCTACTTACTGTAGCTCACCAGCCACTCAGCTTCTACACCCACCCATACGCTGTCTGCCCTTTTACACTTTATTCCTCTCTTTCACCTCAGACCCCAAGGCAACACTTTAGCTTTATGCTTGCTCAGGGGGCAGCTCCTTAGTTACTGCCCAACTCATTTTGCTGGGTCTCCTCCCCCAGCAGCCGGAAGCCGCAGATCTGTTCTGCTCTGAGCTTCTCACAGGCCACCCCATGCTTTCCTTCCCAACTCTTCTGAAAGGACCCTCTGCAATCCTTCTAATCCGCGTTGCTTCCCTAAGTACTGGAGACGCCCCCCTTTCACTGCCCAGCAAGATTCCTTTCCTTTGGTTCCTAAGGCATTTTGGATAAACATTCGCTACGTTCCCTTGGTCCTGGCTTCCTTCCCCCAAAGCACGCCGGTTTTCTCATGGTTGGCACGCTTTCCTTTTTCCTGGACCCCTTTTCCATGCTTCTATCTACTCCCAGCATAAACCCACCACTTTCTGGACTCTAGAAGGTTTTTCTGTGAGGAAGACAATTAGGTTCAGGAATGGGTTCGGCTCTCAGATTGGAAGGGAATTTCTTAGGTCTTAATTTTGAAATATGTGGACTAGGAATAGGATATAACTTATTTTATCTGTAGAGAGGCTTAAGACCTAGGCCCCCAAGGCGCCTTCTCTTCCAAGCTGTGATACCTAAGGTAGGGTTGGCTTTGGCAACCTGAGTGGAGTAGTTAGTGTCGTCCACACACTGTGAGGTATAGGTAGAGGTTCTGTTTGCTCTGGTTTGAAGGCCACTTCTCTAGGAAATGGGAAGAGAGTAGAGGTGTTGGGGCACAGGTATGGGAAGGGTGCACTGAACATTATTTTCAGGGTGCCAGGTAAGGTTGGGGTTCTGGGTACAGAAAAAGCCTAGGAGCAGAGAGAGGGGGTAGAAGGAGAGGGGGGGTTATAAAAATAAAACTGCGGCTCTGGAGCGCAGTCAAAGACTAGTTTGGAAGTTGAGAATGGGAGGAAGCTTGCATCCAACAGTCCCAAGTGTTCTTAACCTCTCCTCACATCTCCGTTTTTCCCTCAGAGGCCAAGTTGCAGAAGTTTGATCTGTTTCCCAAGACGCTGCTTCAGGCCGGCCGCCCCGACAGTCCGCAGCCACAGCCAGTGAAGCCCTTGTCGCCCGACGGCGCAGACTCGGGTCCCGGGACCTCGTCCCCAGAGGTGCGGCCGGGTTCAGGCTCGGAGAACGGAGATGGCGAATCCTTTTCAGGGTCGCCTCTGGCCCGAGCCTCCAAGGAGGCAGGTGGCAGCTGTCCCGGTAGCGCGGGCCCAGGCGGTGGCGGCGAGGAGGACAGCCCTGGCTCCTCGAGCCCCCTGGGTTCCGAATCGGGTTCGGAGGCTGACAAAGAAGAGGCGGAGGCCCCACCGACTCCGGGGCTGAGCGGCGGCCCCGGGCCGCGGCAGCGGACGCCGCTGGACATCTTGACGCGCGTCTTCCCGGGCCACCGGAGAGGCGTCCTGGAGCTGGTGCTGCAGGGCTGCGGCGGCGACGTGGTGCAGGCCATCGAGCAGGTGCTGAACCACCACCGCGGAGGCCTGGCGGCCGGCCTGGGCCCCGGCGCGCCGCTGGATAAGGCCACGGTGAGCGCGGCCGTAGCGGTGGACGACGCGTGGCCCGGGCGCGGGGACGCCGCGGCCGCCGGGGGTCCCGGGCTGCCCGCTCCGCTGCAGACCGGGCCCGCCGCGCCGCCGCACCACAGACCCTTGCTGGCCGGGGCCATGACGCCGGGCGCGCTGGGCTCGCTCGGCAGCCGCTCCGCCTTCTCGCCGCTGCAGCCCAACGCCAGCCACTTCGGCGCCGACGCGGGCGCCTACCCGCTGGGCGCGCCGCTCGGCCTGAGCCCGCTGCGCCTGGCCTACTCGGCGGCGGCGGCCCACAGCCGCGGCCTGGCCTTCATGGCGCCCTACTCCACCGCCGGCCTGGTGCCCACGCTCGGCTTCCGGCCGCCCATGGACTACGCCTTCAGCGACCTCATGCGCGACCGCTCGGCCGCCGCCGCCGCCGCCGCGGTGCACAAGGAGCCGGGCTACGGAAGCGGGCTGTACGGGCCCATGGTCAATGGCACCCCCGAGAAGCAGTAGGACACGGGGCCCCCGCAGCCCGGCGGCCCCAAACACTGACCCAGCCCGCTCCCCAGCCACCGGCCCCTCCTCGCCCTGCCCCGCGCCCTCCGCTCAGCGTTGGCTTTGGGGATTTGTTTTGAGGGGTGCGTGGGAGCACCTCGGCTAACCGCGCAGGTGTTCGCAGAGGGGCCTTGGGGTCCGGGTGCTCGTCCAGCCTCGGGCCACCTTCCCCCAGGCCGGGGATGCCTCAGAATCCCGAGGACGGCTGCGGCCGCGCCTGCCCCTGCTGCTCCCTCTGCTTCCGCTCGCCTTGCCAGCCCGCGCTCAGGTGGATGGCAGGACAAATCAGCCTCTTGTGTGTGTCCTCCAGTTCCCACTCCCCTTTCATTAAAAAAAAAAATCCTCTCTAACAAATATAAATTTAGGATGTATACATCTCTTGCCACTGAGTCGAGTCTTTGGGACACACATATATATCGATATCAATTGTAAAAAAAAAAAAAAAAAAAGGAAACGTTCTAAGGTGCACTTTCCTCGTTGCGGTATTTGTCGCTCTCTTTGTTGCTTATGCCGATAAGCATGGGTTTCCTTGGTGCAGTGTGAGTTTTTATATATGTATAAATCTATATATAAGCTATACATATATATATACAAGCCAGTGTATAATGTTATAAAATGGAATTCTAAGTTATTAATTGTAATCTGTAGGTGACCTCGGTATTAACGTGAAAAACATTCAAAATCAAAGCAAAAAAAAAAAAAGGACAAACTGGGAAAATTAGACTATTCGCGCATTGTACTTATGGGGTTTTATAGCTGAGACCTACTGTAAGCTGGGGAGGAACCCTGCCCGCCCCTTGGCCCTGGCCTGCGGCTGTTCTCTGGAGCGGGCCAGGCCGCGCTGGAGCACGACTAGAGCGTCGGGTGACAGAGCCGGGACTCGGCAGCCAGCGACGCTGCGGAGAACTGCTCACTTTGTGCTTTCCTTTGCATAGGTATGAGCTAGAAATAAATGTTATTTTCTAAATAAAGCAACGCTCGAATCCCGTTCGCTCCTCTGGCGGCTGGGAAGAAAAGCTTTTAATTTCCCACTGGGGCTGAGGTGCCCGGGAGCTGCGGTTCGCGCCTGTGCCAGGACCCTGGAGGGACCGAGACAGGAAGCTGCGGGTGGCCCCTGGGACAGGCGCGGGGGTGGGGTCGCGTCTGGAAACTTCGGAAGAGGCTCGGCGAGGGCGTGATGAGCGTGCTGACCTCGCGCCCAGGACCTGAGTCGCCTGGCCAGGCGCAGGTTGCCGGCCCGCACGCACGCACGCAGAGCCTCGGGCTCTTCCTCTGCAGGTGTCTGCACCAAGGCTGAGCCTCGGGATCGTCCCCCGCGGGTGTCCGCACCGCAGGCAGCGCCTCTGTTCCCCACCTCCCCACCCCGCAGGTTCTGGCCCGGCCTCGGGCTCTTCCCGGCACAGGGACCCAGCTGCGGTCCGGGTCGCACAGTGCACTCTTGGCTTTGGCTTTGGAGGCCAGGGCGCTGGACGCGGCGGCTTGGAGGCGGCCTTCGACACCTCTTCTGCCAGGGCCTGCGGCTTGGGAGTTATTGGGAGGCGTGGGATGCCACTTTCTCCCGAGGCGTGTACTCTGAGTGGAAGCGAGGACACCCCTTCGGGCCGGGCCACCGGGCACCCCTTTTGTGAAGTAGCTGCCCCATCTGCGACCTCACATCCCTCCCTCCTGCTCTCTCCCGCAGGGTCACTCCTCCACTCCAGGAAATAGGGTGCCCCCTCCCTTAGACTGGGCCCGGAGACATCCCAAGGTAAACTTCTGGGGCAGGCTCGAGTTCCGCCAGGCGGTGAAACTTAATAGCAGGACAAGAAAACGGTTTAATAAAGAAGGGCTTTAATAGGGAACTAATTTGATTGAGTTGCCTAATTCCACTTTAATTGGAAAGGGGGTTTGGCTGTTTGGTTATAAAGTGTGAGGGTGACGATGAGATGGTAGGAGGGGGGAGTGAGAGAAGAAAGATGCGGGCAAGAAAGGGATGAGTCCAGAGAAAGAACGAAGGTGGAGGGCTTAAGTCAAAGGGGGAAGTTAGGAAAATAGAGGAACGAGGGACTGAGTGCGCAGGAGCTCCCAGCAAACCGCGGCCGCTGTCCGCTCAAGCCTTACATCCTCTCCCACTCCAGCTTTCCCAAGGCCTCCAGGCCTAGCTCAGCCGGGCAGCTCCCACCACCACCCCAGGTTTCTGCGGGGACCGCAGGGCGGCCGGGAAGGAGAAGCTAAGATCTGCAGGCTCCCTGGGTTTCAGGAGTGACCTACACTGGGTCCCCTGAAGCGCCTGGATTGCAGCCGGTGTTCAGGTCAAATTCAAGCCGGGAAGCTCCAGTTCATTCCCAAGAATAATTGGGCCTCGAGAGTTTCGAGATGGTTATTTTTAGTTCACCCTCAGTGAAGTTTGCCCTATTTTACGAAGGAGGAAACATGTCATGAAGACTAGTGTCAGGATCTCCCCTCCACGATCCCCGTGGGTCTGCTTTTCTCTTAGATCTTTGCACAGAGCTGGCTTTGCTGGCATACGGTGGAGGGGGGGGGATGCAGGAACATCCTTTCGAGGCTTGTCCAGAAGACACAGGTAGTGGTTTCCCTAAGCTGGGGCCGCCAGCACCCAGTTAGAGCTCAGGCATGGGTCGGTCGAGAGCAGAGGGAATCCGAGCAGTGGGTACTGAAAACTCCATGGTGTGGCTCATCTTAGTGGCTCAGGCCCGGTCCTGAAACTCAGAGCAGTCAATCACAGCCTGGCAAAGTCCTGCTAAGGTGGTGTGTCCCTGACCCACAACTCAACCCACTGCGCAGTCTGGAAGAGAGATATCAAGACTCGACTCGTGATGAAAGGCCTGGAGGAAGCCAGTTCAGAGCCTAGGTTACTCCCCCTGGGGTGTCTCCTGGCAGAGGAATGGGCGGCTGGGGCAAGCCAGTGACTAGGTTCCTCTGCTCTTTCTAGTGTCTGCAGCTGGGACGCATCTTGGGGGAGGATGCAGGTCCCTAGGCCCTTGCCTGTTTGAGATGTCAGCGGAGCCAGCACCAACATAGGAGAAAGCGCGTTGGACTCCCTTTCCTGATTTCTGTTGTCCATGTCTATTCTCAAATTCTCAGGAAGCCAGCTGGAACCGGCTCTGGCCTGGGCACTAGGAAGACTCAGACCCCTGCCACTGCGGCTAGCTCAGGCTGATGGGGAGACGGCTTCTGGGAAATAGCAGTTTTAAAATTCTCATCTTCTTCCTCCTCCACTGCCACTCACTACCCAGACAACTGAGAAGGTGTTAAGAGCTGGCATCCATGGTCTACCACTGGCTGGGGTTATTCAACACCCATACAAAGTATACACTCTAGCTGTATGCTAGATCCAGTTACAGGACCGAGTTTACAAAGTGTATGTCTGAGACCATTGGTTGGTGATGAAGCTACAGTTGTAACTGAAACCATGAGGAGTCACTTCACTCTGCTGAGAGGCCTCAGAGAGGCTGCCCCAGGGAGGCAAGAGAGGCCAGGTGCTTAACCTGGCTGCCACCTCTATTAACTGGTGAGAATAGTATAGTCTGTTTCGCTGGGCACTGTGAGGAGTAAATAATGTGTAAAAAGCTCTTAGCTTGGTGCTTGCTCACTGGGTGTTTACTATTATGATTCTCATATCCTTTGGTGTGGGTATTGTCAAATTTAAAAGAAAACCAGCTCCTCAGAAGGACTGGACGGCAGGAGAAAGCTGCACTTCTAAGTCCTGAGTGTCCTGTCTTATGGAAGACACTTTGCCCAGATCCACCGGGACCATGGGCACACCAGAGTGGGTGATTCTAGAACCAGCTCTAAGGGGAGATGAACCTGGATACGGCATCACCAGGCAGCAGTGTAACCTGGTTAGAAGTTGGTGAAGGACTCAGGACTAGGCAGAGGGGCTATAGAGACTAAACAGAGGCCGAATAATAGAGAACCAGTGAGTCTCTGCCTGAGGAGTCCCAGGGATGTGGGTTTTAGAGTGAGGGGCAGAGAGCTGTGGGCAGCAGAGAGGGAGAGACATGTGCGTTTGGTAGGTTCTCTGGAGAATGGACAAACTGAGGAGACGACATGGGAGTAGGAAGGTAGCTGCTGAGGGACAGCTTTCACTGCTGGTCCCAGCTTGGGGGGGGGCGCTTCCTGGAGGATTCCCAGGTGTGTGGGCTGGGAAGGGCAGTTAGTGGTATGAGCCCCTCAAGCAGAGGCAAGATTGGATGGTAAGAGGAAATGTTTGTTGTTCTACATACAGTTTGAAAGACTTACCGATTATCTGGGGGTGGGAAGGTAGAGAAAGTCAACTCCTCGGGGCTGGACTGAAGCAGGGGCTGGGAGGAGGAAGAGGCCGAGACTCCCTAGAGAAATATTCTGTCGGAGGCTCTGGGTGTGGGATAGATGTGGAGGTACCACCTCTCACTATTTCTGTTCATGCCAAGAGAAATGGCCTCTTACAATCATTCTCCTGACGATTTGTACCCTATGGAGGCCACCCTTCTGGGAGGACCCTGGGCAGCCCTCCCTGGACTTACTGGGGAGCTCCTTATGTGCATGGAGACTCCCGTTCAACCCTCTGCCCTGTACTTACTCTGACCCTTTCATGCCAGCTGCTCTTCTCTCCCCGCTCCTTGTCCCTGGGCCGCTGCACCCCAGTCACTCCAAGCTCCTCAGACTCACCCAACACATGGCCCACTACCCATTTTTGTAGCCAGAAGTCCCTCTGCTTGGAAAGCCCTTCTGAGTACCCCTTATTCTGAGCACTTCCCTCAACCCCTCTGAGCCTCAGTTTCTCAGGTAGATTCATGATGACACTAATAATGCTTAAGCCTCAGGGCTCCTCACCCAGGCAGGTCCCTCTCAGGGTCTTAGCTGTACATGCGCCAAATGACTTCTTTTTCTCCGAGCTTATATTCCCCCCAAAAAGTATATCAATCTCTGCCCAATTAGTGCAGTTAGGAAGACCTGCTCCTGCCTTTTCCTTTGTTGCATAGTAAATGTTCCCAAATGTAATAGCTTAAAACAAGAAACATCTTATCATCTTAGCATTGTGTGGGTATGGAATTTGGTCTAGTCATGGCTAGAGCATTTTTTGCTCCATGTGTTGTAGATTGACATATCCTGGTGGCGTTAGGCTGGTGGGTGTGTTGCCCTGGACGCTCTGAGACAGTGACAGTCACTGTCTGATGCCTCGGTATGGATGGCGGGAAGACTGTGACTGGGCGCCAGTATATAGTCCTTCACTCAGGGTGGCCTCAGGGTGTCAGACCTCTTGTGGTTCTGAGGCAGGTGCTCCAGCAGGCAAAGGGGGGCTGTGTGGCCGTTTATAACCTAACATTTACAGGTCAGAAACTATGACAAGATTGTTACCTGCGAGTGACGTATCACCAAGGTCACACTGAGTTAAAATGATTTAGTCTTTCTTTTCCCTTTTCTCCTCCTCCTCCTCCTTTGTGAAATTGTAAAACTAAATGTCCCAGGTGCATTTTAGGAACACGAGCCAGCTGCTCACATGCTGTCAGCTGAGCGGTTCTCTGTACATTTCAGATAAGCTATACCCCAGGGTATCAGGCAGCCTTTCCAAATGAAGAGAGGAAGGCTCGTCAGGGCTGCCAGTGGCTCCAGGCTTACGCTTACCTTCCCTGTCACATATTTGAATAAACCATCTTGGAGCTGACTCACTGTGAATACTCTGTCCCCTGTCTTCCCCAGGACCAGTTCCATGACTGCAAGTTTGGGGCTAATCCATGGTCTCACCTCTGAAGAGGGACAGGCTGCCAGTGTGCCCTAACCAAAGCACAGAAGCCAATAGTTAGGATAAATGGTTCTTCAGAAGAAAACCGGCTGCCTTTGGAGGAGCAGGTTGGGGTGTCAATAGCTATTACATGGGCCAGCGCTGCCAGAGCTCAGGTACCCAGGCTTCTGCAGGGGAGGGAGCCTGCTGGAAACCCAAGCCTGGAGGACTGCTGAACATCTGCTCATTCCAGCCCTAAATTCCAGTCCTTGTTTTAGC